TTCAATTATGTTAGAATTCACAGATTCCACCATTTGTAGGATTTCTAGTTTCCATCTATGAAAAGATGGGATTCAATTTCAATATTTTCTCACTTGTTTGAAACACAAAGATATCAATTTTCTTTAATTTCACATTTATTTTTCTTCCTTATTTTTGTCGCCCCACCGCGAATAATGACACTATCAAAGGATAATCACCCCCACCGCAAATAGCAAAACTATCGCATGATAACCACCCTCTTTACCCCTATCCTAAAACCTTTCTTCCATTATCACCATTGCCTAACTTTATGCAATTCAACATGTGTAGTTATTTTATTTTTCTATCTTATCTAATTAAGCTAAAAATTTATATTGAAATACTCATAAATATTGACCAATTGTGAGATCCAGTTCACTACGTTACAACATTGTTATTGATCTTATTCGCCCCACAAGTACTCCCCTAAATATGCATCCCGATATCCCCACCTAATGAGATAGACAACAATGCAGTTTTTTAACGAGCAAACTTCTCCTTTGCTTAACTTCGTAGAATTGTCTCCAATCTTGGAAACACAAAAACAATCCCCAAAATGTTTTTTCTATTTCTCATCATAGTAATCACCATTTTATAAAATATTTTACAAATAGTGTTTAATCAATAAAAATGAACTATTATTGAGGTTGTGTTTGAGTGTTTGTGTTTCTATCTTGTTGTAATTTAATGTTTGGTAATAAGTAAAAATAATTTATAGTAGTTTAAAAGCTAATTTATGAATTAAATATTTTATAAGTTATTTGAAATATCTTTTTAATAGTTTAGTTTATAAATTAAAAACAAAATTTTCAGCTATTGTGTTAAACTTAGTTTAAATTTGTTTTTTTTTTTTTTAAGTTTACAACACAACTAGAAAACATTTAAAAAGTACTTGTTTTAGGATTTATTTAAGTTTCAAACGGGCGAAATAGATGCAAGAATAGGCCTGGCAATTTTTTATACGACCCGCAACACGACACAAAATAAACGGCTTTGGGTTGAGCTTTTCAACCTGTCAACCCGTTTATTAAACAGATCATATATTGGTTTCTCAAAAAATATACGGGTTGACCCGCCAACCCGTTTAGAATTTTAATAAAAAAAATTATATATATTTTTAAATATTATTAAGTATTATACACTATACAATTTATACTTTATACTAGGATATGATACTAACTACCATTGACCATTTGACACGTGGGTAACCATCTGCTGATTTGCATTGCATTGCAATGCGTTCGACGTTTGCCCTAAATAATTCCAGTATCTCACAAGAACGTCGGAATGAACAATTGAATCATTATCGAATGACGTCGATATCTGCGATTGAATTTATCTATCTTTGTGTTAATATTGTAGTTTGAATAGGTTTCCATAAATATTTTTAATTTCATTACGATGTTTAAGACTTAAATTTCTAAAATTCAAATATTTTTGCATCAAGAATTTATTCATGTTTAATTATCAATTTTAGTTATGGAATCTGACCCACAAACACACGAACCCGTCAACATGTGATCCCGTATAAATAAGTGGGTTGATGGGTCATATATGAATTTATATTTCAAACTCATCAACCCGTGACCTGTATAATTAAATCAGTCGTGTTTGAGTTGGTATATTTTAACATGCCAACCCGAACATGACACGATTATACCTACGCAAGACAAGGCACTTCATTACTTATGCTATTTTTTTATTGATGAAACACTTCATTACTTTTTCTATTTTTTTATTGATGAAACACTTCATTAATTAATATACTTAGTGGGAATCTTAACTTCTTATTCTTAAAAGATGATGATACAAAAAAAACAATGCTTCAATTCTACATCGATATAAGGTTCTCGCTTGGCTTTTTAAATTCACACGACCAGATTTATCAACTAAAGTGCCACATATTGATCAGAATCTATGAGTAAACTCAATGGAGTGCAGTTGAAACAATATTTGATCATATAGATGTTCATGTGACTCTAACAAGAAGCATTTCATCCAAATGTTACAAAGCAAATAATTTACGTTATCAAATGAATTTTTCATTCAGATATCAAATCGAAGATTTGTTGAGATGAAAGTGCATTTCGAAAAGCATGCTCGTGCGTCGTAATATGTCGCAGAGATTTCAAAGGAGAAAATATCATAATGTGTGTCTTAGATTATTCTAAATAATTGTCCTGAATGACAATACTCCTTTGACTATTCATTTGAATATTTAAGTGTAATAGATTTTATAAAAGATAGAGATTTTTATAAATTTGAAAAAAAATATATTTTTATTTTCAATATCAAGAGATATCTTTGTTATAAGTTTTGAAAGAAATAACTTATCTAGAAAGCTAGCCCAACTGTATTATCCTTTATGCTTTATGCACCAAGTCAGCCCAACTCTACTATCCATGGACTATAGCCCAAACTTACGAATGATTTTCTTTAGTAGTAGAGGAGTAATTGTTGAATATAATTTCATTATATTCTCAATGGCCATCTCCAACCACTAACAAAAGAAATCCTTTGAGTGTGTTGGACAAAGAAATCAGAATGCAGACAACCAGAAGAACAAATAGGAAGGGGTAAAGAATTGAGAAGCTATTCTTCCTTTATTTATATGAAATTCAAAGCTTAATAATCTCTGATGCTACCCCCGATGTAACAATGCATATAGTAAATTCATGACAAGATTCATGCTTAAACATGACTTATGTATGAGAAAATTATGGTTTTGAATATTTTTAAAAATTATTAATGCTATAATAATAATATGTTTTACGTTTGAAGTCTAACTCTGAAATCTAAATATCCTCGCAGATCCACAAATTAGGGTGCTAATGATGGACCATACTTTCACACGCAAGGTGAAGGTCGAGGTCATACTCAAGGACAAGACCATTGACATCCTCCCAAGCTACCAAGGCCACACTCAAGGCAAAGGTTGCCAAGGCCACACTACAGTCGAGCCCATGGTCGACGAGGAGAAGTCAATACCGACTACATGTCTGTTAAGGTCAACTGGTCAAGTGCCTGAATGTCGAGGTCAAACCCAAGATTGTCTAGTCGAAGTTTTCGAGCGAATCACCAAGTCCACTTTGACCATTTTTGACTTTTTGAATCATCTTCCCAATACAAAATATATGCTTTTACTAACTCGTGGGCCCACAATGATTAACATTGTATTGTTTTTTAATGGCGGTTTGGTGCAGCGAACAGTGACATCTAATATGGCAGTATGTCATAACACCCAATGAACCCGGGTTTGATCCCTACCTGAAGAGATAACATCTTTAGCAACTCAGTTTCCCATTAAGGGGTTTCATTGCTTTTGACATAGATGGAACTCAACACCATTCCTCAAAAACCCATAGAAGGGGAAAATTGGAGTGTGTCTTTGTCCTGTTGAACTCGACCTTATTGGCCAATGATTAACACCGCATTAATCGTGTATATCATAATTATGTATGTATTTGCCTATAAATACATATAGATAGACTCTTAAGAGGCCGAGACATATAAAGTGTAAACTTTCCATTTACGATTAATTTTCTGTTAAATGTCATTCTTTTATTCCATTAAAATTAAACATTTTCGCTTGGAGAATATAGCTTAATCTATGAGAATGAAATTGGCGGTAAAAGGGATCGATCTTGACATGGTACTTTGCCCGATTTCGGATTTGGCTAATGAATTGTGGGATCACCTACCATTTTCTTTCAATGTGACAAAGGAAGTTTGGACTCAAATCGCTAGGTTAAGGGGGTTGAATGGTTTTACATGAGTGAAGATGTGGTTTAGTGGTCAGAATCTATTAATTATAATATCGTTCAAAGAAAGGCTTTTGATGTGGTTGAGATCACTTCTTTATAGGCATTGTGGTGCTTTCAGAATAGATTGCTATTTGGAATCGTTAAAAAAAAAAAAAAAAAAAAAAGAATGCAGAGATTGTTGATAAGATAATTATCTCAATTGATTTTTAACCCAAGTTTACCTATTTCTGCTTTTTGTACTATGTATGTATCACTTGTTCCTTTTAATATAAACTTGATAGTTTTAATAATACTCACATTTCCAAAGAAAACCTTAATCGCTTATTTGATTCTCGCTTATTCTATTTAATGAAATATCGATTTACCATTAAAACATATCATTAGGTTCCCAATCAAAGTTGCGACCAAGCGGTTTCTAAGCGATACAAAAATCAAAATCAGAGCTACAATCAAGCACCCATTTTTTTAGCTATCATCATCATAATTCAAGCGAATATGTAATTTTCTTTACTACAAGATTAGTAAGTGAAACTAATTTCCATTTAAGAATATACTCTACAACTATTCCATATCAAATTACCAAATTACTCACAAAATATCAGTTCCAACGTTATTCTCTTATTACTATGCTACATCCAACAAACAATTTTGATATTCTTATGTTTATCGTTACTACAAACCAATAGTCACTTATAGAATGAATAATCACATCATTAAAGAACACTTGTATAGCTTGTAACCCAAATTAAAATATAGTGTAATTTTATATCATTATTGTGGTTAAAATTAAATCATACTTGTATTTCTCTTTTCCTTTTAAAGGCTTCTACTTTAAGGAAGCATAAACACTATCATAAACATATTAATGACCCCCATATGATATTCTAAGTATCTTTGTTAATTTTCTTAGCTAAAATATCTCATATATTTAGCAAATATTCATTATAGCACAAGTTCTATACCTTGGGAAAATCTCACTCTTTCTTACATACCTTTCAACATCATACTCTATACAAAAGATAGAACAAGTGACAAATGCTACATGCCACCCCTAGGAATCGACAATCAACCAATCTCACAACCAACACACTGAGAGTAAATCATTATGTCTTACGGATTTTTACATTCTTATCACTCTCACACTTGAGTAGGGACTTATCGACTTGCTTTTATACCACTAGGACACGCATGTTGAACATATTGTTCATGTGAAAACGTCAATTAGAACCAATAACAATTGTTCTACAACAAGGGCATTGTGAATTGCTTTCTAGCCATGGTAACAAGCAATCGGAATGGAATCGATGGGTGCAAGGCAAATGGATTACCTTCTCATTTGCCTTAAAATGATCTAAACAAATTGCACACTCTTCTTGATTCCATGATTTCCAACTCAACCCGGTTCTTCCCCAACTAAGCCTCTTTAATCCACTCTTTTTCAATCCAATAACCTCAATTTGCAAATTTTCCACCACCATTGAAGTAGTTGACATCCTCCCAACACTACTCGGTCTTTCTTGACTCTTTTTCCTATAGAATTTAGTCACATAAATGGAAACCCAAATCAAAAATCATAACTTTATGGGGTTTTGAGACAAATTGATTGTATGTTAGCAAGGGTAACCGTAATCCAGCTAAAATACGCTCCAACAGAAAGGGAATTCAAACATCCCAAATCAGAATCCCCTTTTTTTAGTAGGAAAAGATTTGGTTTTCCGTTTTTGGAGTTCACCAGCGTATGTTAGAAATGATGACTGTAACAAGCTAAAATGCGCAAGCAAGAACCATGGGGGATGCATCATGATCCATACCTTCTAATTTCTTTATTCAAATGGCCTCTGAGCCTTCCATCCAACCTTTCTTTGGCTTCTCTGGCTGCTCCTCCTAACTTCGAATCTTCGTCTGATTGATTCACCATGCTTCTTTGCTGGAAATAAAAAGGGAACTTAACTAATTAAGTAAGATTTGGGTGCTAAAGTGCGTCTGATTGATGAATATCTGAACCAATTCTATCCCCAAATTCAAATAAGTTAAGATTTTTACCAAGAACGAAGTGGGTGTGAGATGGGTATCATGAGAAACTCTAAATCTCGCAGATCCGAAACCGGAACTAACAACAAACGACGAATCGCACCACACACCACCTCCATGTACTCTCCTCCTCCTAGCGCTTTCGACTCCAGGCAGCATACCAGCCATTTGATGAAATTCCAGAAACAACTCCCAAAATCAAAACAAGCTCTTGACGCTTTTCTGAATTCTGATCTGATCTCTTACTTCTCAAAACCGGTAGAACAGATCAACTGAAGAAACGTCAGGGACAGGAAGCATCAAGGAAATACCCTCCTTCAATGGAGTCGTTTTTATAGTGGGTTAAATAGATGTGGATGACGTATGCTAGACCCAAATCCAAACCCAAATACCAAAAATCAGTTTGATTAACTGTTGTGGGAAGTTTCGTGGAAAACAATGAAAAGAGGAAAGAGGTGAGAAGCTTCATGGGTAGTGAGTAGTGATTGCATTTGCACGAGGAAGAAAGAGGATACGCCAAGGAAGGAGGAGGTGGGGTGCGTGATTAACCAACCAAACTGGACTGGTGGGTCTACTTCACTTTAAAATTTAAAGAAGGTACCAAACTTGGGTTGGGGTCGCACTAAAATCATGAGTTATGACACATTTACCTTTATTTTTGTGCAAAACTTTTCAATGCCCAATAATTAGCATAACAATCATATATGGTAGGGACAGTTACTACACTAATTATTATGCAATATTAAATTTTGATTTTTTTGGAAGTTTTCTATAAGGCTGATAGGAGTGGAGGTGCTAAGGAGCTCGTTAGCAGTCGCTAAGATCGGAGGGTGTGAGGTGCGGTTTCAGTTGATGCAGTATTGAAACATCGTCCTCTCCATACGGTTTCGAAGTGTGGTTTGGAGAGTGTGGTAAGAATTGGGAGCTCTCTCTCTCTCCATTTAATACCATCCCTTGGATGTGGTAAAAAAATATAATAAAATGAGGGAGTATGGCATCACTCCTTCCAGCCTAAGAAGAAAAAACACCGCCCCCTAACTCTCGCTAGGGGGCTCGCTACCTTTAAGCTCGTCAATGGCATGAGAGAGGAGAGAAAACATTGATTGAATATTATTGGCTATTGACTTTTCTTTAAAATCTTAACCAATCAAATCCTTTGTATTCCATTTGATGGATGAAAGATTCAAACTCACACCCTTATCTTTTCTTAATATCTTTTCTTAATAGTTAACTCTTTGATGGAAGTTTCTAAATCATACACTTATCTTTTCTTAATAGTTCACTTTTTGTTTTAAATATATAGATAAAATGTATGTTATGTCATATTATTTAAATCTAATTTTTTTTGTGTAATATTAAAAAAATGTTTGTTTATTAAAATAAATAATTAAATTAAATTAGAAAAAGAAAATAAAAAATAAAGTACTAGGAGTGTTACTACTCCCTACCAAATGTTAAGATATGATGCTAAATGGAGAAAAGTAAGGTGACACTCAAAAAGCTGACGTAACAAAATGTTAAGAATGTTACCACAATACCACTCCTTTTAGCCTAAGTATCTCATTCTCTTTTTCAATTCCATCCCCTTGATTTGATTTTTTTGTCTTTTTTTTCCTATTTTATTTTTTTTGTTTTTAATTTTTTATTATAATAATAATAATAATAATAATAATAATAATAATAATATTACTATTATTATTATTATTATTATAAATTTCGAACAAAATTTTATAATTCGGACAACGTTATAAAATTCGAACTGCTATATAAAATTGGTTTTTAATTATTTTTATTATATGTTTTATTATTATTATTATTATTATTATTATTATTATTATCATCATCATCATAAATTTCGAACAACATTTTATAAATCAAAGAACATTATAAATTCGAATGACTATATAAAATCAGTTTTTAATTCTTTTTTATTATATTTTATAAATCGGGTTTTAAAATCGGATGACATTATAAATTCAGATGAAATTTTAAAATTCGTACGACATTATAAATCTGGACGACATAATAAAATTCGAACGACTATATAAAACTAAACAAAAACAAAGTTTGTTTTTATTTATTACGGATATATTAATTGGTTCATTATTACATTTGTCTGCTGCGTTATGCGGATTGAAAACAAACTTTACTTTTGTTCCATTTTATATAGCCGTTCAAATTTTATAATGTTGTCCGAATTTTAAAATGTTGTCCGAATTTTATATGGTTATCGAAATTTATAATAATAATAATAATAATAATAATAATATTATTATTATTATTACATACTAATTTACAATGACCACTTGAAGAGTACTATCTTACTATCGGACCACTTTTATTTATTTTTAATCTTTCATCGGCTATTTCCTTGGCTTATTTTAATCTTTTTTTTTTCCTTCTACGTGTTCTCTGTGATGTTAACTTTCGTTTCTCCAATAGAATGCTTCCAGATATCTTCCACCATGGAACGTGTCCTGCTTCGTCTTCCGATGCGTGTCCACCCACTGCCACCGTCTGCTTCTGATGTCCACCTTTCTCATTCAAAGAGCACTGCCTTACCCATATCTCTATAACTCCATCTATCAGCTCCTCCCCAAATGAGTTTCGACTGTTTTCCCTTCACGACTCCTACCCTAGAGAGCGACTTTTAGAATCGTTGGCCCCCACCACTGAATCTGCTATTCGAGTATCTGATTCCTCCATAGTCGATGTCAAGGAGTCTGCCTTCACCACAGAAGATTCCAACGAGTCTGCCTCCACCGTGTTGTTTGCTTATCAAAATTGAAATTGGGTTGTTCGTTGTGTACTGCAACAATTTTTAGGTAAAATCACCTCCTAATTTCTTCGATTCCTTCCATCGAAACAAACAATCATTTGAATTTCTATTGGCTTTCTGATAAATTTATTTGATATTAGGGATTATTGAAACGCTGATCGATCAGACATGGTTTGTGAAGATCGATTTCTCCAGAAAAAAACCAATGACACTTTGAATCGATTGCTTAATTGAGGGAGAAACTGCTTCACAGTGTTGATCTTTGTTGTTGTTTACGTTCACTTGCTTCGGATTCAGGAAGGTGTCGTTTCATCCTCCCCCTTCCGATAGCTACATGTTTGTTTTGTTGTATGTATATGTTGGACGATTTAATACCCTAATCCTCATCGCATAAATACAATTAAAAGGATGGTCATTAAAAATTATCATAAAGTTCTGTGGTGTTACTTGGATATGATTCTTATGGCGAATAAACTCATCAAAGTGTCCCAATAACTAGATCAAAAGGATGAGGAGCGGTACGGTCACGCCTTCGCCTTGCCACGATCTCATGAAGTACCTGAAACGATAAACTGAAAATTGTAAGCCCGAGGGCTTAGTGAGCTACCCCTAAAATACCAATACCACGCTATTAATACCATATCATCAACATACAATCAATAACATGCATACTAGGCCAACGGCCTGACTAGGCCGCCCTGCAGGGCCTTCAGTCTATCCGATCCTATCCCAAGCCTTCAGCGTGACTGGACCGCCACGTGGGCCTATAGTCTCCCCGAACCGCTCACAGGGTATGTTGGCTTTCAGCACAAAGCAGGACCGCCTCAACCCAACCAACAAGCAAATAACCATGTGCGCATAACTATCATATACTGGCATATACAAACATCAAACATATATATCTTACTGATTATCAATCATAGAAATCTCTCGTAACTAGAGTACCGACCTAGCAGATCACTAACATACCAATCCCTACGGATCATAAGGGCATAATATACTGTATATCCAGATTCCGATCTAACAGATCATAACCACATGTAGCACACCATAACAATAACAACTTAAGGGTCGGCCTTGGTGTCGTAGACCCTATTGATATAGTGAGGATAACTCACCTTGCAGATGTTGACTTGCTAGATAAACTCCAACTCTCGGATCACTATTAAAAACTCCATCACCTATTACCATAATATAACTATACCCATAAGTTCCCAACCTTTCATGGTACCCCAAAAGCCATCTAATCAAACCCTGGTCAAAATCAAAGTCATCAGTCAAGGTCAACAGTCCATGTTGACCCTAACTCGTCGAGTACCATCGGCTACTTGATGAGTTCCTTAAAGTACTTGCCCACTCATCGAGTCACGAAGTAAGACTTCAAGTTCCTTCGGTTTATGATCGAACTCTAAGGCCACTCGTCGAGTTTCCTTCTTGTAACTCGACGGTTACACACGCATACATAAATTGAGGAAACCTCAACCAACTCGCTGAGTGGTTCATACAACTCGTCAAGTTCTATGGCAATCATCATCGGACTCGCCGAGTTATTCGTCCAACTCGTCGGGTCTAGGCCTATCTTCATATGACTCGTCGAGTTCCTTCAGTCCTTAAGCCATACAGACTCTTTTAAGCCATGCAGTGGCTCCAAATTACAGATCCACGCTTCTAAGGCATGCATTTCACGTAAAGTTCCAAACTTTACGTGCATGCATGGCTAAAAAGGCTCTTAATGTCAAATCCAAGCTCACAATGGGGGTTTCCTACTCTAGGAGGCTTCATACATGACCAAGCTCGAAGCTTTATGGTTCTAGAACCCAAGAGGGGTCCAGATATGAAGTTACAACTTCAGATCTAGCTAATATCCCACACTATCATCTCAATTAAACCATAAAAACCCTAAATCTCAACCAAATAAGGTCTAGAAGGAAAATGAAGTAAAGGTGACGACTTGATACCTCCAAATGATGCTAACTGAGGCAGATTTCTGATTCCCACGCCTTCCTTGCTCCTAGAATCTTGCCCTCCAAGTTCTTCCTTTCCAAAAACCTCTTTTTTAAAGCTTAAGACACACAAGGATGAAGCACCACACAAATTGGGGTTTTTTGAGCTCTCATAGGACTTTAAAGAGGCCAAACGAGGCTTATGCTTCCTTAAATAGGGTGCAAAACCCCGGGATCTAGGGTTTCTTCTGCAAGCTCCTACTCGTCGAGTTCTTCGTGGACTCGGCGAGTAGGATACTAAACACTCGATCCGACCCCACTGCTACTCGATGAGTTGGGTAACTAACTCGTCGAGTAGATCTTAAAACCAAAGAAACTTTCATTTAAATCAATACTTGAGAATCAAGGCGTGACAATTCTCCCCCACTTGAACTAGACTTCGCCCTCGAAGTCTACTGGAGTAAACAATGTCGGGTAATGCTCGCGCATCTCCGCCTCCAGCTCCCATGTCCACTTGGATCACCTTCGATGTTCCCACTGCACCTTCACTTAAGGTATTTCTTTGTTCCGTAAAATCTTCTTATTTTTCTCCAAGATCACCACAGGCCTCTCCACGTAATTCATGCGCTCATCGATCTGAATATCATCCAGCAATACCCCCTCCTCCTAGTCCATAATGCACTTTAGCAATTGCGAAACATGGAACATGCTATGAATTCGGTTGAGCTCCTTCTGTATCTCTAGCCTATAAGCCACTTTGCCAACCCTGACAATGATCCTAAATGGCCCGATATAACGGGGACCCAATTTTCCCCTCTTCATGAAGCAGATCACACCCTTACAGGGCGAGACCTTCAGAAGTACCATGTCACCAACCTGAAACTCCAAATTCGATCGACTTCTATCAACGTGACTACCTCCATCCGACCCATCACCCTGTGTCTAACCTCACCCCAACAAACTGGGTTCTACATCTCCGACCATACAACAGCTTAAAAGGCGGGGCGCCAATACTGGAATGATAGTTGTTGTTGTAGGCGAACTTTGCAAGCGGTAGTTGGGAATCCCAACTTCCACCGAAGTCAATGACGCACGCCCTCAACATATCTTCGAGGGTATGAATGGTT